AATTTTTAAACTTAAATAGTAATACTCTAAATTTAGGGTAAATTATTAATAGATTTTAATAGTTAGATTTAATTTTCATAATGTTTTATTGAAAATAAGTCCTAGTAAAATTGGTGCAAAAATTTATTTTTTGTAACAATTATTTACATATGTTTTTAAAAATTGACAATTAGTGACTTTTTTTAATCGCGATTTTTATAAATTGTCACTAAATTAGTGACATTTTTCTATGACGAGTGTTTTAAATTGACGAGTTTTTTAAAATTGTCGTTGAAAGTTAGTGTTTTTTTTGTGAAGATTTTTTTAAACTATCATTAAAACTTATAATTAGTGACATTTTTTATGATAATTTTTTTTAAATTATTGCTAAAAAATAATAATTAGTAATGTTTTTTAATAATATTTGATAAAAAATGCTATTAATTTTCACAATACCTATTAAACAATAAGTTTGCCTATTAAGAGTTCGTTTGAGATGTGAGCTTTTGATTTTTTGACTATTTTAACCTGGGCTAAAAAGTTTCATTTGAGATGATTTGTTTTAGTTTTTTTTAAACTTTTATAAGAAAAAATATGAAATAATTAGGGGGAGTTATGGGCGGTCCTATAGACCGGTCTTATTACCCAGCAGGTCCTACCCAAAAAAATTAAACAGTGTTTTTCATTTTTACCCCTAGACTTAACACTGCAACCCAACATCCGGCCATCGTCTCAGTGAGAAACACATAGTCACTGATAAATGTTATCAATATTTACCAAACCACTTAAATTACTTATTATTTCTCACTCTCACACTCACATACATACACACTCACTCACTAATTCACAAAAACACATCTACACACTTACTAATTCACAAAAATAAATTCACAATAATTTAACAGTGATAAATTTATCACTGATAAAATGTTATTAGTGATATACTTCATACACACGTACATACACACTCACTTACTAATTTACAAAAATTCATCAGTGATAAATTTATCACTGGTTTAAACAAATTTATCATTAGTTTAAGCAAATTTATTATTGGTTTAAACAAATTTATCACTGTGATCTTTCCCAATATATAGAAATAGAAAGAGAAAGAGAGAAAATTTGACAACAAAGAGCCTAGATCCTAGATTTAGGGGTGGAGGCGGCGACGACTATGGAAATAGTAGTGGTCAGCAACGACGGTGGAGGTGGAGGTGAAGGTGGAGGCGAAGACGTCGGTGGAAGCAATGGTGAAAGTGGAAGAAGATGTCGGTTGAGGTCGTCGGCAATGACGACAGTAGAGGTGGCAGCAGTCGGCAACGATGGAGATAGCAATGGTCATTGGTGGAGAAATGTGCAAAGAGAGAGAGAGAGATTCTCTATTCTTTTTTTTTTTTCATCTCCAGATTTGAGTATAAAACACATGAGGGCAAAAACGAAATAAATAAAAATGTTCAGGACCTATAGCTAAAGGAGTCTCCATTAAGAACCTATTGGGTAACAACCCTTAAAAATAGGACTGACTCGTAAAAATCTCAAATAATTATGATTTAAATGTGATATTTTTTAATTTAAGATTAAAAAATTATTTTATTATTTTATGATTATTTTAATCCCAATTTATCCCAACCCAACTTTCCAGACAAGTGCTAAAATTTAGAGGTAAGAGCATCTCCAATGGTGGTTGCTATATATTGCTATTGCTATTGCTATAATTTGACAATGAATAGTATTATTTTGCCAAATTATAGTAATGGTGCTCTAATGGTCATTTGTTATTTTTGGCAAATCTCAACCAACTTTCCCTCCAAGTTTGTAGGTGTTGTTTGGATATAGGTTTTTTGTGATTTTATTTTTGTTTATTTTTTGTCTTTTGTGACATTTTTTTACATGTTTGTTAAAAAAATTATATATTTATATTATTCCCAACTAGACAAATATAAAAAATTAAAAAAAAATGAAAAATTGGAAAAAAAAAATTGTTTGATTAATTCACCCCACTAAAAAACATATCACTACATATTTAATAAATTTTTTTAATTACACAAAAAAATAAACAATCACCAATTTTTGTTAAAAAAATTATATATTTATATTATTCCCAACTGGACAAATATAAAAAATAAAAAAAAATAAAAAATTGTTAAAAAAAATGTTTAAATGTGAAGTACAAAAGACTCAACAATGTTTCTTAAAATAACATGAAATTTCATTACAAAATAAAAATTACATTGCAAATAAAGACTAACAATTACATCAAAAAATAAATGATATTGCAAATTTGAAAAATACATTATCCCATAATTATTCATCAGGAGGTGGGGGAAATAAAAATTTGGGTTGCTCACATTTGAGGACCACTTGGCGAAAATCTCATTTTTTCACATTGTGTAATACGCTTTCATCTGAGGGTCCAAATGAGAAATGTCCATAGTCATTATTTGGTGTTCTTCCTTTCTCATCTCAAACTCATGTTTTTTCATCTCAAGTTTTTTCATCTCCTGTAGTGCTTGAATCATTTTTTCTTCTTTTTCCTCTTTTTTCTTTTCTTTCTCAGTAAGATGTTGGTTAAATGTGTCTAATTGTGTACTCATTTTTTGGACTTCAATTTCAATGACTTGATTTCTCCGAAATAATTCTTTTGCAGATTTCCTACCCATCGGCCTTTTACCCCTTGCAGAGACACTGCCCTCACCAACAGTTGGATTGCTACCAACACTTGGACTGGTGTCATCTTCAAGAGAAATGCAATTATCCATAGGGCAATCGGGGGCTGAATCAGGGAAAAATGGTGTATGTATCCTTGACTTCACCGTATTCGTAGGAGTTACATCTTGCCACCTAATATTGTTTTACAAGATTGACCAACAATGTTCAAAAGCAAAATGTTTCTTTTCATCTTAATGATATAAAAGTTTTGCTTGAAGCATCTGTATCAATAAAATATTAAATTAAGTAATTATTTAATTTTTATATGAGACGAAATAAAATAAAATAAAAAACTAACGTCATAAATGAAGATGAAATCTTATTAGATCAACTTGAGACATCCCACTTGGGTGTAGATTTTCAACTTGCGCTAAACATCCACGAAATTTGTTAGAACATTTCATGATTGTACTCCATCGAGATTGGATAGAAACTTGTGTTATTGACTGATCATTTTGAAGGGAGCAATAATTTTCATAAATTTTCTCTCAAAAGTGAGTATAAGATTGTGAATTGCCAACAATTGGGTCTTCAGAAATGTGACACCAAGCTTTACAAAATGTTATATCTTCAGCAATGGTGAATGATTTTCCTTTCTTTATTTTTGATGAACCTTCCATACCGATTGTGTAAAGAAAATATAAACAAAAATGTAATTTAGAAAGTTTGTTGTGCAATGAAATTGAGTAAAAAGAGAGAAGAGAAGGTTTGTATTTATAGAAAAAAAGAGTCATTTTTTTATAGCCGTTTTAACATAAAAAAGAGCCGTTATGATATGATTCACTTATGTTTTTATTTAATTTTTATTTTTTTTAATGAATAAAGTAGCACACTTGGATCTCAGCCGTTGGATTGTTATTAATCAACGACTGAGATCAATCATGGGTCATTGTGTCTCTGCCCATTGAACAAAATAGCACAATTTGGATAAACTTCAGAGAAAATCAGAGAGAGAGAGAGAGAAAGCGCTTCAAAACACTTCGGATCAGTGAGAAGATCACCTTCTCTACCCCCCTGTTTCTCGGATCACTTCAAAACACTTCGGATCAGTGTCTCTATCCTTCGGATCACTTCGGATCAGTGTCTCTACTTTGAAACACTTCAAATCACTTCGAAACACTTCGGATCAGTGTCTCTGTCCTCTGATCTCTGGTTCTCGCCTTCTCTCTCCCCTTGTTTCTTGGATCAGTGAAGATCAGAGAGAGAGCTTCGGATCAATGATTTTCAGATCGATGGGTCTTTCCCTCATCTTCATTTTCAGATCGATGGAACTCTCTAAGCCCTAACCCCACCATCTTCTCTCACCCAAAGCTCTAACCCCTCATCTTCTCTCTCCCGAAGCTCTCTCTCTCTCTCTCTCTCTCTCTCTCTCTCTCTCATTCGGATTAACCTTCTCTCATCCACTTCCAGATCATCCACCTTTGGATCAACCTTCTCTCATCCAAGTATTTTTCTTGATGAATTTGTGAATATTAATATTGGAGAATTTGTGAATATTGGAATATTGGAGAAATTAATGTTGATGAATTTGTGAATATTGGAGAATTTTTTGAAGATTAATTTGGTATGAATTTACTGAAATTCTTGATGAATTTATGAATATTGATATTGATGAATTTGTTGAAATTCTTGATGAATTTGGTATGAATATTGATGAATTTGCTGAAATTCTTGTTCATTCTGATGAATTTGCTGAATTTGGTATGAATTTGATGAATTTGCTGAATATTGATGAATTCTGGAATATTGATGAATTCGTGTTCATTCTTGTTCATTTCTTTTATAAAAAAAACTTCATGCATTCTGGAAAATCCCAATTGAAAGGGAAGGAGAGAAGGAGGGAAGAAAGAAAACAGTTTAATTTTGGGTGACTTGGCAGATTTGGCAGCTGTTATAGCATGCCATTGGAGAAGCCAAGATTGCCCAAGCTGTTATATTATAGCTTTGGCAACTGATTTAGCCATCCATTGGAGATGCTCTAAGCCTCCGTTTGGGAAGTGAGTTGGCTTTTTAACTTTTTGGCACTTTTAACTATTTTAGCCTGGGCTAAAAAGTTTAGTTTGGGAAGGACTTTTTGACTTTTTAATTTTTTTAACTTTTTTTATGAGAGAAGAATATAATGATTAGGAGTTAAATGTAATGTTTTATTTATTATAACTAAAATAATTTATTTTATTTTTTTATAACTATTTTAACCTCCAAATCACTTGTCAAACATTACCTAAGTCCGCCTAAATTTAAATGTTAAGTGAATCTAATTTTAATAATTTTCTTCCAACACATTATGACATGCATATGTATACACACATGCAATAAAGAGTAACATGTATGTATCATTGCACTACTTTCACACCATCAATTCACACCAACCACCCCACTCCTTCGTTCGCGATAAATACACTTCACCCATCTACTTTCCTCTCTCTCTCTCTCTCTCTACAATTCATCTCAGAGATTCACAATGGGCAAAGTATGTTCAAGTCTCAGCTTGGCCTAAACTCTCTCTCTCTCTCTCTCTCCCTCTCTAACATTTTTGTCTTTGGATGTATGGTTGCAGAAGAAGAGCAAGAACCAAGGCAACCAAGTCGAGCAGAAGAGCGATGGAGGAAAGAAGGACGACGGTGTCCTCACTGTCGTTTTGAAGGTCGACATGCATTGCGAGGGCTGTGCTACCAAAATTAAGAAGTCTATTCGAGACTTTGAAGGTGCGTTTTCACTTCAAATTCGCCAAAATTCATGCTCTGTTTCCTTCTATACTTTACTCAGCTCTTTTTCCACTTCGTTCCTTTGATTTTCTCACTGTTTTCTCGCAATTTTCCCCGGATTTTGGCCTTGTGTCTCTCTTGTAGTTGTGGTTCTACTTTTTCACACACTCTTTACTCTGTTTGTGCTTTTGTTTCCGATTCTTTTGCTATATACATATTTATGTGTATTTTTGTCGGGTTCAACAAATTCTCTCACTTCACAACTTGTATTTTTTTGAAATATATTCTGGTGAATTTGTCCGTGTCGAGAATGATATCTTCGATTTTGTTACTCATTTGATATAAATGCTTGTGATTTGTGTGCGAAGGTGTTGAATCCTTGAAAGGAGGCGATGGAAACAAGTTGACAGTGATCGGGAAAGTAGATCCGGTGAAGCTGCGAGAAATGGTTGAGCAGAAGACGAAGAAGAAGGTCGAACTCGTCTCTCCGGTGCCGAAGAAAGAGAAGGATAACGACAACAAGGACAAGGACGGTGGCGGAGGAGAGAAGAAGACCGGAGATAAACCGGAGAAAAAGTCCGATGGCAAGAAATCCAAAGAGGTAAATTGCGCTCTGCTACTGTACGCCTGTGTCGTATTATTTCCTCTCTCCTCTTCCCTCTGGACTCTGGTGTTTTGTCTTTTGTGTTTTGCGCATCTGGTCCACGTTGGCCAGCTCAGATCTTTCACATTAAAAGCCCTTGTGATTCATTCATTCATTCAATTCAATTTGAAAGTAACGGAAGTTACTCCGATTTAACCGGTAAATCATGTGCATGCATATTTTAGTAGTTCCAATTCAGCGCCATTTGTGCTACTCTCGATATTTCAAATCAAACACTTGATTTCAAATTCATTGACGATTTGAATTTTCGGATTTCATCCATTTACTTGCCTTACTCACCTTGCTATTCACGTCAGAGGCCAGTTGGTGGCGCATTTTAGCCGAACCTAATTTATATTCACTCTTTTGTTTTATGGTTTTTGTTTCATAAGGATCTAAGTGAAATTTTTTTAAAGTTTTTAGAGTGTTACATTGTATGGTTAAAATTTACTGACAAGTCACATCAATTGCAAGTCACATAAAAAAAATTGATGTGATTTGTTAGTAAATATCAACCACACAATGTAATACTCTAAGAAATTTTTAAAAAAAATCACTCTAGAGAATCCTTGCTCTTTTTTATTTATCTGTTTGATTTGTTAATTAATTAATTGTTTATGGTTTGTAAATCTCTCAGCCGCCGGTGTCAACGGCGGTTATGAAGGTGGATCTGCATTGCCAGGGATGTGTCCAGAAGATTCGCAAAACCGTCAGCAAGACCAAAGGTGAGAATATCATTCCCTCGTTAGAAATGTTAGGATCATGAAATTTTTTTTTTATAAAAATATCATGAAAAGTTTGTGATTCTTAAATTATTTTAATTAGTGTATGATATTTTATTTTAAGTGTAATCTAAAAAATATAAATTTTTCATAATTATTTTCATAAATTTTTTTTCATAATAGTTAACATTGCTTCTCTTATCTATACCTTGAGTAAATTATATCAATAGCCTTTGCTTTTGCCTGGGAGTTGGTTTTTTTATTTTTTTTGATTATTTTAATTTGAGTTAAAAAGTTTTATTTGAAATAATTTTTATTTTATTTTTTTTAAAGTTTATAAGAAAAAAATAAAATAATATGAATTAAATGTAATATTTTTATTTATTTAATTAAAATAATATATTTTATGTTATATAATTATTTAAGCGTATCCACACAGCCTTCATACATGGCGGTAGTTGGATTTTCACATTATGAATTTATCATCTAATCAATTATGCCTGACATGACATGTGTTATAAATTTTGAAATAAAATTATAAACTTATAGGCCTTGTTTGATTTGTATTTAAGAAACATGTTTTGAGATAAAAAGTACCAACAACATTTTTTATAAAAAAAAATTAAATTATAAAATTTAAATGATATTATTAATTGAATTAAATTAAAATAAATAAATTACTAGTCAAAATTGTATCAAAAGGATAAACGAAACTATGTAAAGGTGTACTTAATTTGCTTAATGGATATTTAATGGCGTTACAGGATATCAAGAGATGTCCATTGACGCCCAGAAGAATCTGGTAACGGTGAAAGGGACGATGGACATGAAGGCACTGGCCGAGTCACTGACGGAGAAGCTGAGGAAACCGGTGGAGATAGTCCCGCCAAAGAAAGACGGTGGTGAGAAGAAAGAGAAAGGCGGTGGAGATGGTGGAAAAGGAAAAGGCGGTGAAATGGCAGGCGGTGGTGATGGTGGCAGCCAGCAAGAGGATGGGATCCAATTTGTGCAATATGGGTATCCAAACCCGTATGTAAACGGGTATGGGTTGGGTTATCCGGTGGGGCAGTTCCATGCTCCACAAATGTTCAGTGATGAGAACCCAAACGCTTGCTCTATCATGTGAGGATGATTAAGGGGGCAGATAAGGTAATTATGGAACTACCCTCCTATTATTAGGAAAAGATGAGAAGATGTAAATAGCATTAAAGATTCAAATTGGGGGACTTGTTTTGTCTTTAATTTTGATTATGACCTTAATGTTAGTAAGATTGATGTTTTGACTTGGGAGAGTTTATCTTCCGTGATTGGTGTTAAAATGTTATTGTCAAATTAAGGTCTTGTTTGACATAAATTAAAAAAATTAAAAAGTTAAAAAGTTACTATCTTATTTAAGTTACATCATCTTATTTAAGTCACATCAATTTTCTATTCTATCACTTCAAACTCAATCTATATCCAATGTATATTTTATAAAGTCAAAAAGTACATTTATTTAGATCATTTTAAATAACTTTTAAATTTTGATATATTTTATTAGTTTCAAAATCTTATAATTTAGCTTCCTTACTTTAATCATGCAAATGTTATTTGTTTTATTTTTCTTAATATTAGGTGAAATTGTTATTTGTGAGATCTTATCGAGGGGAGAGAGAACAATTTTTATAAAGTTGTGTCAATTAACAAAATGTGATTTGTTTCGAAGAATTCTTGTCAATTTTTTATTTTTATAAGTGTATTAAGAGTGTTTTGGGAAGAGAAAAAAAAATTAATTTTTAATTTTTTACTCATTTTGGATTGTATTATCTTTCATATTTTTTATTTATAAAAAAATAAAATAAATTTAAAAAATTTAAAAAATTAATTTTTTATCAAATTCTCAAAACAACAGTTACGACATCGACAAGATGCAAGTCTATTTGTCTATTTTTGGTTTATTAAAATGGCATGTCAATTCTAATCGTGATCAATTATAAAAAGGCTAAATCAATGAGTGCGCTCAAGATTATCTTTTGTCAAGACCCACATTTTTTAGGAGTAAAAATTCTAACAATAAGGGTCTGTTTGGAAGAAAGATAGATTGTGAATTTTTTTAATTTTTTTAATCATAAAAGATAAAATAAATTATATCATAAAAGATAAAATAAATTATTTTAATTACAATAAACAAAATATTACATCTAATCTATAATTATTATATTTTTTTCTCACAAAAAAAATTAAAAAGTCAAATTTTTTTTTTCAAATCAAACTTTTTAACCCAAATTAAAATAAGTAAAAAAATCAAAAAAATTAAAAAATCAACCTCTTTCCCAAACCAAACCCTAAAAATCATGTAGGATTGTTGGTGCACCAATTTGTAAAGCAGAAATAAAATATTTTATCTGATGGCTACCTTATATATTTGAATTGATGTGATGTGTGATTTTATTTATTATTTGTCTTATGTTAAAAAGAGTGATTAAAATTTAATATGATTGAACATTTAATATTTTAAATTAAATACAAAGTAACTTCTCAAATAGTACCAGTTATTTTGAGAAATGTGTTAAAAGTCATTTTTTAATTTTTATTTTATTTTTTTTCACAAAAATTTTTTTAAAAAAATCAAAAAGTAATTTTTAACTATCTTTTCAAAACATTCCTATGTAAATAATGAATAAAAATAATATTATTGCATCAACTACATTATGAGACATACTTGTTACATAATGTAATTTTTGAAAAATGCTTGGTATCTTTTTTTTTGGAGACCCCTACAATCTCTTTGGATCTCAACTATTGAGGCGTTTGTGGGACCTATTCATATATATATATGGGGCGCACATCATCAATGGTTGAGATCCAAAAGAATTATGAAGGTCTAAAAAAAAAGAATCTCAATCATTGTTGATAATTTTTTTGGTTTGGAGTGTACTAAAAAATATATTTTTTTATTTTTTAGATCACATTATCTTTTTATTTTTTACATATTTTTTCATAAAAAATTAAAAAATATACTTATTTAAATCATTTCAAACAACACATCTCACTTAAGAACTTACTAATAAATTTAACAAATGTTTTCATGTAAAACTCACACTCATATATTAAGATATTTGATAATTTTATTGATAAATCTCATGAGGTCTCTACCTCACTTGTCCCCTACTTTGTTTTTGTGGGCTGTACATTGTTGTCCTTTCCCATGGGTGGGAAGAGGGTCCAGCAGCATTTCGCACGAACGTAGGTCATGTTCGTTAGTGGAGTATTTTAACACCCTCTACTCTCTATGCAACACTCTCACTATAGCTTTTTTATTTTTAATTACATTTCGACTTTCTTTGCTTTGATGTAAAATAATTTTAAACAAAAAAAAAAATTGTTTTAATTTTCATGTGTTTAGTTGATAAAATAATTTTTATGATAAAAAATTTAGTAGTAATTTCATTATGGATAAAACTTTAAAAGAGAATAAAATTAAGATAAGAATTTTGAAATTTGTGAAACAGTAACCGAAATAGCGTAAAAATATAATTTATAGATTTTTAAACGTAATTTATTTTTGCCTTAAGATCAAAAATATTTTAATTGAAAAATATTTATTTATTTATTGACCAATCAAATAACGAAAAAACATTTTATTTTAAAACAAATAGAGCCTTTAACCTTTTTACAAAACACTTGCTTTAATCTTTTTAATTATTATTTTAAACGATACTCTCCTCATAATTAAAGTAAAAATTCTTCATAAAAAATCCTCATCTTTAAATTTATCAATCTCAATCCACCTTTATGCTCTATTTAGATGGAAATTTTTTTGAAGAAAAATGAGAATATATACTTTCCGATTTTCTCGATTCTATGTTTGAAATGGATTGCAATGTTTATCATTTTTTTACTCCAAAAAGCCCAAAAAGTAAAGGGTGTGTTGTTTGGCAAATGCTTTCGAGTTGTACAATAGCAAAAAAGTCTCTTTTTTTTTTTTTTTTTTTTTTAGTTTTTTTTTTTTTTTTTTGCTGCTTAAAATGGCATTAAAAAGCTGGGTTTTTTTTTTAATATTTATTTTTAAACTATAATTTTTCACTCAAAAAGGACAAAAGTAAAAAAATACCTTTCAATTACTTGCCAAAAATCTAACTATTATTGAAGAGAATTACATATGTTAGTTGGAAATGCCTTCCACTAATGGAGATTTGGTGGAAAGAAGGAAGAAAGATAAAAAAAGAAAAGAAAAGAGAAGGTACTTAATTATAATGCATTTACCTAAAATCTCCAAGGAGTCATTGACATGCATGTCATTAATAAGGTGTGTTTGGTTTGAACACACCTCTTTTGTTAGTTTATTTTATCAAAAGCTAAACTAAGAATTAGAAAAATAAAATCAGAAATAAAATTCAAAAGCCCAAATAAAGCTGCTTTAAAAGAAATTGAGCCAATGACCTTATAGTTTAATGGCATTACCTCTCAACACTTGTAGAAGATTGGGGATTCAAGACCCACTAGAAGAGAAAGTTGAACGTAATAGTCAAACCATGTCATCCCCAATATATGTATTATAATCTAATAATAAATTGTTATATATGTGGGGATATTAAATTCTATTATCCACATTTATTAGTAATTGGGATTGTGTTAAATGATAATTACATTTCAATGGGTAATCACATGATATCACTGTCAATTTTTTATTTTTAGTGGGCATTGGTTTGCTTTTTTGTGATTTTTTTTTTAAAATTTTTTGACATTTTTAGTTAATGCGTTTGGAAAGTTACTAAAAGAATTGTTTTTTTAGTGAAACAGTTAATGTGATTTTTGATATTTTTAGCTGATAATAAAAGGGGGTAATTTGTTATGAAATATAAACCTCAGGGGGTAAATTGTTATGAAAATACAAACCTCAGGGGGCGGGATGTAATTTCCGAAACCTCAGGGGTATCTGTAATTTAACCAAACCTGGAGGGGTGTATATGTAATTTGCCCTAAATTGTATTATCCACATTTATTAGTAATTGGGATTGTGTTAAATGATAATTACATTTCAGTGGGTAATCACATGATATCACTGTCAAATTTTTATTTTTAGTGGGCATTGGTTTGCTTTTTTGTGATTTTTTTTTTTTAATTTTTTGACATTTTTAGTTAATGCGTTTGGAAAGTTACTAAAAGAATTGTTTTTTTAGTGAAACAGTTAATGTGATTTTTGATATTTTTAGCTGATAATAAAAATTTAGTAACATTTTAAACTTTTTTAATAAAAATTGACATTTTTTTTTTTGTGTTCTCAAAACAATCTTAGCAAAAATTTATATCAACAATGATAGAGATCACTAATTTTGGAGCTCTAAAAAGACCACTAATGACATGGTACTCAATAAAAAAAGAAAAAAAATACAACACCAAGGTCAAACCATCAAATCATTCATGATGAGGCCCACTGCCACATCATTAGTGATAGCACTAATTAGTGCTCTCACTCATTTTCCAATTTATATTGTCTTCGGATCACTTTATGAAAAATCACTTTAGATGCTCTGATTCCTCAGCAGAAGTAGAGGCAAAGATTAGGGCAGTAGGATGGGATTGGGGCCCCAAGGGCCCAAATTATGGGCTGGATTGGTGTTTCTTATAATTGGGCCTACTGAAACCCGTACCTAAACAAATATAAATATATAAAAATTGAATATGATAAAAAACAATTCGGGTCACATTTTATGAACTTGGAGTTGCCTGTTTGACAAATAGCAATTTTTGAGGTCAATTGCATATATATGTAAAAAATTCATATATGCACAAAAACAAAGATCGTAGACCCACAATTTAACTTCTACAAATCAAATAACTTGACAAAAGAAAGTTAGGCCTTATATAATTAAATTTGTAAAAAATTAAAAATTAACACATAACCTATAATGTTGTTATGGATAAAATTGCGAGACTTAAATTATGAGTCTCAACCTTTTCGTTGAGTTTTTTTTTTTTTTTTAACCAACACTAAGAAAATCACAATCAAATGGCCGTGTATTCTATTTTTTCAAGGATCACTTACCAGTAAGTCTTATACACAAAATTTAAAATTCATTTAGTCCAAAAATAAAACACTTGCACCAATTAGCCTTACATATTTTTAATTGTTACCAACAAAAAAACTTTTTTTTTTATTATATGTATATAAATTTAAAACGCTGCTACATTCCACCATTACCGGACTTCTGTCAAATGATCATCAGAGACTCGTTAAAATATTCAACATCATCGGGAAGTCGCCGGAGTATCGTCGGAAGTTCACTTGAGTATCGCCGGAGTGTTTTGAACATCACTGGAAGTCACCAGAATGTCCAAGCTGTTTGTTG